GGACAGACACGGCAGCCTGGCAAGCAGAGTGGGCGGGAGCGGGGGAGTGCCAGGCTTCGGGCTCCTCCCCAGGGCACAGCAGGCCGCTCGCCGGAGGCCAGACGTGCGCAGACTTGCCAGAAACGCAGAGCGGAGGCCTCGTCCCGATTGGGAAGATCCTCTCGAGGCCGCGAGCACATCCGGCCAGGGACCGGCCGGGGACTCGGGGCCGAGGGGCTCACCACACGCGGCAACCGGGCAGACTGCCCGCCTGCCCCCACCCTGTCGGGCACCCGCCCCAGGTCCGCTCACAGGAGGAGCTGAGGCACCGTGGCGCACGCGCCTGAGGACAGCCAACCCTGTCTTCTCTTTTGACAACTTGGGCGAAGGCCCCTCCAGGCAGGAGGGACGACAGGACCACGGGCAGCGCGCGGCCCTAGGGAGCACGTGAGCAGGCCTGCATCCCTGGGGGAGCCTCCCTCGCTGTGGTGCCGCATCAGCCCTTGACAGCTGTGCCTCCCTTGATCCAGGAAAGAGCCCTCTGAAAAGCGTAAGCCCACCAAGGTCACGGCAAACATTTAACTATGACCTTGTTGAATGTGATAAAGCCAATACAATGTTATGAAGTTTACAATAAATAAATGGAAAATAAACGGCCAACACAGGCATAGAAACTGTAATTCATGGAGTCAGAAAATCCATAATTAGCTCTAATGAATATTTAAAGTCAAAGTTCAAGCTAACTTTTTCAACGTTTGACCTGCTCTATCAATACGGTTCAGGGCACGCATCTATCACAGGACACGACGACATCAGGACAGAGCGCGCCCGGGCCTACCAACGGGGGTGGGGGGAGGCCCCGCGCCCGGCGGGCCTTCTGCCCACAGCACCTGTCAGCACTGTGCTTGTCATGTCGGAGAATATTGACTCCTTGCCTGTTTTACTAAAAACAATTAAAATACTTTTTACATATTTATAAACCTGACTGTCAAGGGTGCCCATTAATTCTCCATTAGTGAGACACAGTCCAGTCGATGCTGTATTTCTGCCAGAACAGCAAGCGAAAGGTGGGCGCCCCCGACGGGGTGGGGACGGCCTCCAGGTGCGGCCTGATGGCGCCGCGGCAGAGCCTGGAAAGCCCGGTGCCCGGGGCTCTGCCGCGCAGGGCAGGTGTGGCTGCGCAGGAGACCCCAGCTCCCGTGCTCGGTGGAACGTGGCAGGGGACGCGTCTCCCGGTCGCCGTCCACCTGGGCATTCGTGTGAATCGCGGCCCACAGCTCAGCGGCCGACTCGGGGTGCAGGTGCACGCGCCACAAAGCCAGTTCTCAGCTCAACTGGAGTCTGCTGATGTGATGAATGGTCCCAGCTGGAGCTGAACTGTGAGGGCGGGAACCCCACCC